GATGTTTAGGTGGTTTATAAAATCAATAAGATTGTTTTCTGGTCCATCCCATATAAAAAAGAGGTCATCTATATATCTGAAGTAGGAGACTAGGTTTGCCCTCCACGAGTGGTTACTCCAAATAGCTTCGGTTTCCCAGTCGGCCATAAACAAGTTGGCATAACTTGGGGCAAACCTAGTCCCCATAGCTGTACCTCTCTTTTGCAAATAAAATGAATCTAAAAACCAGAAATAATTATTTTTTTTAAATAATATTTATACCTTCTATTATAAAATCGATTTGAATATCTGAGATCCTAGCTTCTTTGGTTAAAATTTCTTTTATAGCTTGACAGCCTATGTCATGGGGAATAATAGTATAAAGAGACTGAACGTCACATGTAACTAATATAAAATCCGTTTTCCAAGTAAAATCATTTAAAAATTTTAAAAGTGACATGGAGTCTTTTAGATAAGATTTCATAAGTTTGACTGAAGGCTGGAGAAGGGTATCAATGTATTGGGAAAGGTTGCATAAAAGTGAACCTATCCCAGACACAATTGGTCTACCTGGAGGATGTTGTTTGTTTTTATGGATTTTGGGAAGGAAATAAATAACAGGGGTAATAGGAAATTCTTTGTTTAAAAAATTAAATTCATGTTTGTTTAAAATATTTAAATTAAGACCTTTGTTTAAAAAAAAGTGGATAAAATAATTTTTATATTTTCAGTAGGATCTGATAAAAGTTGTTCATATACATTTCTGTCTTTTAATTGTTTATGAGCTTCGTCTATGTACATATTACTAGACTGGATAACTACTCCACCACCTTTATCAGCTTGTTTGATGACAATATCTTTGTCTTTTTGAAGTTTGATTGCTTGTCTTTCGGCATTTGTAAGGTTTTGAGCATCATATTTTTTGTATTTTATTTTATCTAAATCTTTTTGAACTAATTTTTCAAAAAGAGTAAGAGGGGCGGATTTACAATGAGATGGATAAAACTTAGATTTTGGCCTGAGGTTGGTATTAATAAAAGAGCTGTTGTCTATCTTTGGAGAGGTCGGTAGAATAGGTGGAATAGATTCTTCATCATTTTTACTTATGAAAAATCTTTTTAGTGTAGCTTTTCTAACAAATTTGTTAATATCAAGAAAAGCTTGAAATGAGTTAAAAGAAGAGGTAGGGGCAAATTTTAGACCTTTACTTAAAACAGACAATTGTGCAGCTGATAAAACTTTCTGGGAAAGATTAAAGATACCATTACAGGATTTGGTGTGGGGTGTTATTGTCTTTCCAATCTTTCTCTTTTGCTCCCGTCTTCCACTTCGTCTTCCTCTCTCTTTTTATCTTTCATACCAAGTGGATCCACCATATCAGTAGAAGACCTTACCACCAAAGACTATCTGTAAGGATAAATATTGGGATTTTCTCCTTTTTTGAACTTTCCATTGGACTATTTTACATATATTTTTTATTATTTATTGTGGCGCAGCCTTTTACTGTTTTTTATTCACCTTATTTCAAAGGGTTTGAGGGATCCCCTTTTAAGGTTGCTGCCTATAAGTTAACCAAGCGCTGTCTCATTCTTTTATTTTTATTACTACTTCTCAATTTCCCTTTTGGGATAGCTGCTATCTAACTTCTACAACATGTCTATCTTTGAATTCAGGAATAAATACACAATTGATGTCAATAATGTATTTAATACAGAGGTAATTAACTCTATACAAACAATTCCTCATTATTCTAATCAACAGGATTTATTTACAAAATTAGAAAAAGCATTATCCACAGAAATTAAGCTTAAATGGGAAATTGCCACCCTTAAAAAGTATATAGATGAACAAATCACCCCCCGTGGTTTAAGACTTTTAAAACTACCTACCTCTGATCAGGATGATCTTGAGTTCATGGAGGAGTGGAATAATAAATTGGAAATATGCACTTTCGGATTAATGGAAACACTAATAGTTAAAAAAAGCAAAAAACTATCAATTCTAGACATTGAAATAAATGACCTTAGAGAGAAGCTTCTACCATTTACAGAAACAAAGGCCTATAAACAAAATTCTGTACTAATACAAAATAAAATAGAAAAAGTTGAAGTTGATACAAAACACCTGAAAATCAGAAAATATATTAGAGATAAAACTGACTATTCAAACAAACAAGTGAGAACCTACCATCTTAAAAAAAAAGTACACCTCAGATAATTATCCCTCCAGACCAAGTTATCAAAATCTTAACTATACACATAACAATTCCCATTCTCACAACAATATGGCATATCAACCATCCTCTAAATACCAGAATTATATCACACGAAAGTCCCATCACCAATCCCCATCTACAATAAGACCTAAAAATACTTTCTCTCACCAGCACTACGTCCCTTCTAAATTACCTTATCAAGGTACCACCAACACATACCAATTGCCCCCACATAAACCAAGGAAATTTCCTCACCACAACCCTAATCCTGTACCTCAATCCCCTAGATATTACAACTCTTCTGGTTTAAACTTTTCACCCAAACCACAAAGATCAAGGTATACAAATGATCAAAATGAGTATTCTAACTACTCAAAATCACCCACTATTCCCAATCACCCAAATAGGTACCAACTTCTATCAGTCGATTCAGACTTTGACAATGAAGATCATTTTTTAGAAATACGCACTCACCAGCCCCCACTAGCCCAGACACCGCACCCTTCACGTTCCCAAAAAAGAATTCTAAGCTTAGAGGAAGACGAAGTGGAAGACGGGAGCAAAAGAGAAAGATTGGAAAGACAATAACACCCCACACCAAATCCTGTAATGGTATCTTTAATCTTTCCCAGAAAGTTTTATCAGCTGCACAATTGTCTGTTTTAAGTAAAGGTCTAAAATTTGCCCCTACCTCTTCTTTTAACTCATTTCAAGCTTTTCTTGATATTAACAAATTTGTTAGAAAAGCTACACTAAAAAGATTTTTCATAAGTAAAAACGATGAAGAATCTATTCCACCTATTCTACCGACCTCTCCAAAGATAGACAATAGCTCTTTTATTAATACCAACCTCAGGCCAAAATCTAAGTTTTATCCATCTCATTGTAAATCCGCCCCTCTTACTCTTTTTGAAAAATTAGTTCAAAAAGATTTAGATAAAATAAAATACAAAAAATATGATGCTCAAAACCTTACAAATGCCGAAAGACA